GGCACCCACAGAAAAGCCAGCCTATGGCAGCAGAATAAAGTTGTTGCAGAAGATACCTTTGATGGACAAATCCCTACCATCCCAAGCCACAATCAAGCCCCTGTCAGCATGGTTTCACCAGGAAGGAGCAGCTGGCCTGGCAAACCGACACTGTCTGGGGCTGGGATGCCTCCAGCCTGCACGCAGAAGCCCTCCTGATCTACCCAGAACCAGAACTAGCTCAAAGCAGGGGCAGGAATATCGAGCCTCAAGCAGAAGCGGAACAGGAAAGAAGGATCAATCGTATCTGTAAAGTGTTTTGAGATCCACCATTTAATGCCATTGCTGTATGACTGACCCTTACAGCCCGGGCAGTGCCAGCACGGCACGGTCCTTTCGTCAGCCTGCACCGTCCCGGGGTGGAACAGGCTCAGGCACTCAGTAAATCAGTGAAGTCTCATGGATCTCTGCTCCGCTGTGGGGCTGTGTAGCCAGACAATGCTGCAGCCCCACTGGAAGCCAACTTTCCCTTCTGGAAGTCCTGTGCCACACTAACAGACACACCAAATTCTGCCATCAGGCCCATGAGCAGAGAGCTACCGCTCCTTCGAGGGAAGAAGGTAGACAAGCCGGAGTTCCGATAAATTGAAATCAATTTAATAAATTAAACTTTTGCAATGAAGTCTCTTTCCAAACAATAGTGACGAAGTGGCAAGGCAGGAGGTGCAGGCTAAAGAGCTTTCCTCCTCCTGTAAAACCCCAAGCAGGAAAGAATGAGAGAGATCTCCATACAGCCCAACCAGAACAGCCTGCTGTGGGAATCCCAGCTGCTGCCTTCTCCTTCTTTTGCCTCCTACATATGTTAAATGGCTTTGCCACTTTAATATTCTTCTAGAGCAAGTCTCAGGGAAGCTCATTTACAACGTGTAATGACTACAAGGTGCTGCCAGTAGATGCACGTAAAGTCTCTACATTATAGCACAGAGAGCAAAGCGCCATTCCCCTCCTTTTTCAGCAGCAGCTGTCATCCCAAACCTGTCAGCAGTGTAAAGGCTGTTCCTCAGCAAACAGCCACCACCACCACCCGTTATCCTGTGTACTGAGGAGTCTACAAATCAGGATGCAGAGTCGGGGTGGAAAAAGCAGTGTGCTGGCACCATCCTGCACGTCCAGGTTGTAGTGAAAACTGACATGATTTGGCAGCGATATTAAAGGCAATTCTCAATTATACCCCACCCCCTACTGCTTTAGCCTTCTCCAGGCTAAACAAACCCAGCTGGAATTTCTAGCACACGGACTCTTCCAGCATATCAGTTTCCAACATGCATGCATGCAGGTGTTTCCAGCAGCAGCAGCTGTGGTGGCCCCAGACTTGGCACGTTAAAGAGTTCTGAGCAGGGAACTGGACCAAGGACGGGAAAAGAGGGGTGACAATATGGTTCGGTCTCACTCCTGGATGTGGGAAGTGTCTGGTATAGCAAGGAGAAAGGCAGCAGAGGCACTGCACAAACATTCTAGACACAGACGTGCTGCACCATGTTCCAGAAGAAAGTCTGCTGTTTTGTTCTCTTAATGGCCAGAAACTCTCTTCAAGACGCAGCAGAATCCTACGTTGAAATTCAATGTTGCCAAAAGCAAAAGGCTTTTAACTACTGAGCAATATTTGTACTTGGATGCTTAGCTACCCCTATAGTCCACAAATCTCTCCCCATTGCTTCAGTCTGCAGCCCCCACTCTAGCTCTGAAGCAAACAGCAATTACACATTTATTCCAACAACATTGATGTAACCTGAGCGGGCCCTGTCCACGCAGAGCTCCACGCCGCCCGGCAGCAAAATGCAAAGGACAGTCTGAACAGGTACCAGGCTGCTTTCTCTCCTCTGGCCTCCACATCAGCAGGGCTGATAAGGATGCAAGACAAAACTATACCTGATTAACGTACATGAATTTTAATGAGGGATCTATTCCCATGCATTAGAGAACAAGCCCTGGACTGCTTCTGCCCCCCCTTGCTTGTCAACAGTTTCTCTGGTAAGATAAGGCGCCTCATTTCTGCTGGCAAACAGGCAGGAATGGAGCCCAGAACACCCCTGCAGGGCCGGAGGCTTGGGGCTGTGCCTGGCCTCAGACGCTAGAGTAGACAAGAGCCAGGCTAAATGTTTCGGAGCAGCCTGCCTGGTGCTCCAGCTGTGATTCCTACTCTACATAGCTGAAGGCTCAGTGAAGTAAAGAACAGCAGAAACCGTGCATGGCACAGCCAGGCATCGGGCAACATGTACTACCCAGAATCAGGTGCTCAGGATTCTCAGCAACACCTTAAGGGGAAAGAGGGATGGGCTGCAACAATGCTAGTGCAGAGACAATGCCAGCCTGTTACCGCCCCGTGCCAGGCTAGCTCTCCTTAGCACGGGGTTACATCCCTCTCCTTTGCATTAGGCATTAGTCAGCATTCAATAGCTCAGGAAAAGGGGACAGAAAGAATCGGATTGCCCCATCCCCTCGTGCAGTTTTGAGAATTTCCACACAGTAAAGCATTACTCTGGTGCACCAGCTCCAGCGTGGCCTACGCGCAACATCGGGGAATACTGACCAGACAGACTGGGTCAGAGCTCTGGGTCCAGTGGATTCCTCCTGCCGCCGGGACCACGGGAGGGGGTATGTGCACTGGGCAACAGCAGAGCTCGGGTGTCTTGGAAGCTGAGCCTCATGCAACTGCACCCCCGTTAAGCCACAAAAGCAGAGCAGTTGTAATTACAACAAGTACTGTACCTACCTGATGGCAAAGCCTCCGGCAGACCTACAGCAAGAGCCCCAGCCCTTCCTTTGCTGCTTCTTACCCAGCACATGCTGCTGACTGCAGTTTGCATGCCGCCCTTTAACTAGGGGTCTAGTTCTTCTCAAAAACACGTCCACCTCAGAGGCTTCCTGCCCTGGGAAGTGTCATAAAGCTTCTTTTAGCATATGAGCAAACGGGAGGAAACGCAGCTTGATCCTCATGTACAAAATGGCATTTCTAACCCACGCGCTGGCCGCCAAGCTCCAAGTGCTGGAGTTTTACTACTGAAGCTGGAAGTCGGACTAGAGAAGTCAA